CGTCTTCGATGTACCTGCAACAAGGCGCCACCTTCACAGGTTAGTACCGGACTGACAGAGGGAGAGAGAGAGTTCTTCTTCTTTCTTCTTCTAAGTCCACCATCTCTCCCTCACCTTCTGGCTACCTGACTTCTGCAGATACACACAGAGAGAGAGAGAGAGAGAGAGAGAGAGAGAGAGAGAGAGAGAGAGAGAGAGAGAGAGAGAGAGAGAGATTGGTGACTTTGGGACTTGACAACATTTGGATTTAGACTCGACATTGGGATAGAGACATTGGACGAGGGATTATTTGGGACCTGTACCAAAGACTTGGTGTTGACGACATTCCCATCTTCCCTTCTCCTTCGTCTGATCCCCTCCTCTTCGTCTATGTATGGTTTGGACCGGGCACCTTCTTCCTGTGTGTAGCGCCAGGCCCTTCACACCTTGCGATGATGATGATGTATGTTTGGTCTGCATTGCGACATTGATTGGTCGAATCATTGGTATATTAGTCTTCCGCTGCGCTATCTTGTACAATCTGAGAGAGGTCGGTTCTTGTTCTGGTCTGTACCGTTACGGTATGCAACAGTTCGGTATCGGAGCGGAGCTCCCAATCAGAGGATCCGCCCAATCAAGGAGCCAGCTTGCTTGATCGACTGACTGTTGATTGATTGATTGATTGATTGATTGATTGATTGATTTCAAGTAGGGCTTCATCAAATCGCTGCATTTTTTTTATTATTTTTTTCTTTTTTTTGCAACTTTGGATATTAGCATTTCGTTGTCTATTTCACTCTGGGTATATCAGGTGAACTAGGGAGGTTGTCATACTCTCAGACTGGATCTATTCTTCTCTAAAAGTGGAACCTCCAGTCTATTTCGTGCTTTTTTTTTCTTTCAAGATCGCATTTTTTTGAAAGTCGAAACTTTGCAAAACTTTGCCTAGATCTCGCTCATAGTACTCCTTTGAAATGCCTTGTTGATAACAGATCAACAGATATAAAAAAAAAGGGGGGGTTGATCCTCTTCTTTGATTTTTCATTTTATTCTGTTGATTAAGACCGGGAATGGAAAGTGCAGTTTTGTTACCTTTCTGCGTTTCCCTCCCACCCAGCCCTTTGTCTGCATTCCCGGTTTGGTAAGTGCCACGTCAGTAGCAGTGCCACGTCAGCAACAGAGCCACGTCAGCAGTGCCACGACAGCATCAGTACCAACGTCAGCAGTGGCCCGCCACCATGGCGGTTTCAACTTTGGGCCTGCCAGGCCAATTGGCCAACGAGTCGATTGACGAGTACCGACATTGGTTTCTAGATGAGTTCGCACTGATCGAGGCTGAGGTATGGCGCCTGGCGGCAGCCGAGGCTGCCCGCCTATAGCCTGAAGGAGAGGTAGAAACCGAAAAACAGCGGCTTCAGGCCGCAGCTGACGCAGATGCCCAGGCCCGCCTCAAGGAGGCCCAGGATGTGCTGCATCGGCACGAAGCCACCAACATC